TAGTGGGCCAACCATAGGACAAGGCGCCGGGCCACCGAGAGGTCCCGAGATTATCGATGGATCAGCAGACCGCTCATTTCCCGATACTTGTCACTGAAGGGACCATCGACTAGAATCGATGGTTCTGGTCTAATATGCTACGAAGTGAGACACGCGTTTGCTAACTGTCTAGTCTGCGCTGCCGATCGTGCACCCCTTCGTGGGCCTAACATGATAGTCCCGACAGAGGTAGAACGCCCTTTCCAGCGAGTTAGTATGGACACGACAGACATTGACGTGCCACCTGGCCCCAACCGTTGTGAGTATTCCATTCTCTTGATATTGATCCACCATTTCTCGAAGTACATTGAAATCTACCCATGTAAGACACGTAAGGCCTCTGAGATAGCGACGTACATCGACCTATTCCTCAATACCCATCTAGATACAAAAGAGATTTTAACTGACAATGAGTCTGAATTCAAAGCAGAAGTAGAGGAATTATTAATGCGTCGTGGCGTTACTCCCCGCCACACTGCTCCCCATGTCTCCCAGTCCAACGGACTATGCCGAAAACGCATACCGGATGATTAAGACTGCTCTTCGCAAGAATTTAGCAGCCAATGATACGCGTCCTTGGCCCGAGATAGTGTATCAAATCATCTGGATTCATCGGGCGACACCTCATGAATCCATTGGATTCACCCCCTTTCAGCTACGAACGAATAGTATCCCATGCGTCGACAATCGGAATGCCTCGAAAAGTGCCGAGAATGGGGGAAGAGACACGTAGTCGGCCCTCAAGGCCAAGGCTAAACGGTATGCGGAGCTAATGGAAAGGGCTATCCCCAGGCTAGTCCGAAAAAGGCAGAAAATGACCGAATTGGCCCACGGTAGGCAGGTCCGCAGTTACGAGCCCCGGAATGGGAATGCAGGCCCACAACACCAGTATAAATTAGGGGTCCTAGTGTAGGTGCATAAATATGCACGCGACTGGAAACTCGCTCCCAAGTTTTCTGAATGCTTTCACGTAGTGGAACTCGGCCCTAACGGAGCCCATACTGTGCGCATCGCCCCTGAGACCAGCGCCAGCCATAGCTCTCTCCCCATCGTTCGCCATACCTCATACCTTCGTCCCCTCCCACCTTCAGAGGACCCTATCTCGCCTTCGCCTTCTTTCTATAACGCAGACGAAAATCCCGCCTCCCCTTCTTCGTCTGGTACCACCTCTCCTCGGTATTTGCCATGAGTTTCGTTATCGAGCCGGCTCTTCCCCCACAACTTCTTCAGCCTCAACGTTCGTTGCAGTTTCGCCAAGTCGTGCATCCTCGTCTCAGTCTTGATCTCCTCCGGTTCGCGCAACTGTTTAGTCACGGGGCTTGGTGTGCGGCGGTGGAAGTGACGATTTCAACCGAGCGGGGAGTGACAGTCATCCTGGTGGAAGCCTCGGCGTTCGATGAATTATCCCGGCCTAACCAGAGCGACGTGACGGTGATCCTCGCCTTCAGTGGCGATCTGGGCACCATCCACTTGCAACAACGAAATGCAGTGATCGCCAACCTTTACGAGTGGGGACAGGAGTGGGTAGCGGATTGGCGGTAGCGGCTAGCCCGGTCAGGTCGGCAAATAGTGGGCACCGAGTGTCTTGATACCTTTTGTCTTCGGATCAGTAGCACTGGGCCCGCTGCTCGACCCCTTCCCCCTCTTCGTCCTTTCTCATTGTGCCGATGAATCGCTTCTCGACCTTCTCCCTCCCTTCAAATCTTCCAACTCTCTGGCCATCTTTGGCCGATCCCCTTCTGACTTTGGAGATTCGCCCCGCCACGATCCCTCCCTTCCATCCGCTTTACCTTCACAAGTGGACTAAATTCACGTTGGTCAATGTATGCATGCTAACAGTGAAGTGTCACTGGGCTCGGTATCACAACAATCGAGAGTTGGAGATCTACAATGAGATCTTGCTGGTACTAGCTCAGGCGTGGCCGACAAAGACAGAGACGAGTGGCACTTTGTTTGGACATCTTTGCGGAGAGATCGTGGAAGGAGGTAGAGCGACCGTCGCCTACGAACTCCTCACGTTTCTGTTCCAGCTCGTCGACGACCTGCCAACAAGTATCATCCCCTTCAATCCCACCGACCCCATCCAAGTCAAACCCATCACTTTGGAGATGACTCTGACGCCAACCATAATTTGGGTGAACTGTACAGAAGACTGCGTGCAATACCTGAGCGATGACGACCCCGCAGTGTGGCGCTATTTGGACTTGGACGATCTTGCGCCGGACAACTCCGATCTGGATGAGTTTTGGAACGCCCATCGGGCACACGGCGAAGTACCATTAGACGTCGATCCAGGTCGTACAACCATCGCGGGTCTGTCAACTGAAGAAGAATCGGAAGCCGGGTCGACGTCGAGGGAAGAGGAGGAGGCCCCCTTGGCACAAGTACCACCCGTTGAGCGAGGAGGATCTGCTCTGAATCCCGAAGTCCCTGTCGACGCCGCTAGTCGACACGATGACACAAAATCCTCCCGCCGCCGCCGCCGCTCTCGCTCGCCATCTCCCACCTCCACCGCCCCCTCCACGCTTCGTCCCCATGTTCCTCCCCGCACGAGCGCTCTGCCCTCGTCCGATTTACCGCCGCCCTCTTGATTACCTTTCCTTCTCTCCTCTTCCCCACATTGAGTTCCCTCTAACCTACCGCATCTTCGCCAACCAGCTTTTCTGTCACCACTTTGCCGTGCGACTCTTATGCACGATCTTCCCTCACCGCTCCCCGTCGTTCCCCCTCAACATCCTTCTCTTCAGTGTCGCCTTGAGACAGTATAACCATATGGAGTTGTATTGTATCATCTCGGAAACCTTTCTCGCAGTAGAGGACTATGAGTCCCTACGTGATAATATCCTCCGCACTATCCCTACCCTCTATCCCGACTACCTCCTCTCCGTCTCCCGACCCAATCATCCATTCCCGCGAGCGCATAAAATCGTCCACTTTGTCGATCTCGGGGACGAAGCATCCGATTATTTCCCTCCGCTCCCCGCCGAATGGCCTAGACCCCTCCACAACCCTCTTCTCGTTAACTACCGGCGATCGGACTTTCAGTAGCCAAGTAGATCGGTGAGCTGTGATGTTGCCATCGGGACGACATTTGGCGACCTGGAGGAAGCAGGGCATGGCGCAAAACAGAGCCGGGTGGCAGAGATATCGTAAGCCTGGAGTTGACCAAGTTGTAAAGATAATGCAATTGAAGTTGGCGTCAACATGACTCATGGCTTGATCTAGTGATTGTGATACGTTGGTTTCCTCGTTCATCTCCTCACCATCTCCGATCTCGTGCGCCATAACTCTCCTCCATGCAATCAGGAGATCGCATAGTTTCGGAACCCCCTAAGCGTCACATATGTGACGCGCTAGTTTCCAGACCCTGTCTCTTATACACATCTAGATGTGTATAAGAGACAGCCTTCCCCCCACTTTCCTGCCGTTCCCCTTCTTTCCCGCAAAATACCCCGCCGTTCCCTCCTCCTTTTCCCCAATTTCCGCCCGTCCCCTTCCTGCCGTTCCCCTTCTTTCCCCCAATACCCCGCCGTTCCCCCCTCCTTTTCCCCAATTTCCGCCCGTTCCCCTCCTCCTTTCCCAAATTTCCCGCCGTCTCGCAACCCAATTGATCTTTGGCAGAGACGATATCGCCGGGCGCCGAGCATTGACGGAGACGCAAAGCAACACTCCCCCCCCCCCCTCCTTCCCCGTGCGCACAAACCTCTCGCTATACCCTGGTTCATTATGAAGTCGCAGCGGTGATAGTGTCGTCGTACTGTCAACGTGTGCCTGCTCGCGGACTAGAAATGCTTGCATCCAAAAAGGACTCACCGACGCGTAAAACTGCTTCACTTAGCGAAAGCCCTCGTAGTCCATCTGAGGGGGGGAAAAAAAAAGGGAAGGAAAAACTCAATAAAAAAACACAAAACCTGGGCCATCGAACACATTTGGACAAGAACAGATGCAATGACTGATTGATCGATTAACATCCTTTCTTTTCTTTTGATAGATGAACATCTTGACATTGATTACTTGGCACCGAAATGAAAGACATCCGGTGCGTCAACGGAGAGGAGGATCAGCGGGCACCGAACAAATAAATGGCTTTCCTTTCGCAATGTGCACGGAAAACAAAACCAAAAAAAAAGGACCACATTGAGGTCGGCACAGTGCCTCCATGAAGAAAGAGCGAGAGGTAACACTCACGTGCCTCTCTTGCTTTCCATCAAAGGGGTAGATTGTGGCTCAGCGATGGGGCGCCGAGACCCGACAACACGCGCGTCGCTCACCTCCCCCCCCCCGCCCCTTTATCTTTCCATCACTCTTGTTCAGTCCACACCCACAAAGCATCCACGTGCGCATTTCCTAGTCACAAATGATTGGCTGTTACGACACGGGGTAATGGAGGCGGAAATGAGAGCCTCCTCCCTTTTCCGCCGGCGCAGGCAGAAGACACCCATCGTACCTTTGCATATGCAGACTGACGCCGTCCACCTTTCGCTGTAGGACACAACACAAAACAAACCAGCGTTAGATACGGAATTCCAAAGCCTACCGTGTTCCGCCGAACATAACGCACCCTGACAATGAATGTATGGGAGCGATCTTTCCGGTCCGGTAGAGCCATAATGAGGGTGCGTTGAGTTCGGGGGAAGACGGTAGTCGGCACCGCTCTGACATGGCTCGACATGCTGTTCAGAGCAATACCTGCAGTGCAGAGCAGAAGGAAACGAAGTCCTGGCAGGTACCACAAAGACTGGGAGACACATGGGGGAAGGGACAGGGACAGCAAAACATACACAGGGGAATGACGATGTACAGTGAGTGTGATGTGGACAAGCTCAACACAAGAATCAGTCGGAGAGAGACTTCCTCCCAACACGGTCTTCGCGTCCAGCGAAAACATGAACATGAATGAATGTCAGAGAGACAAATAACCTTCCCCTCCCTCGGTCATATTCACACCTCATTTGCACGCACGCATCTGAAACTGGAGATTAAAAAGAGATTACGCCCTCGTCGTCGGGGGCGGGGGGTGAGAGCAGGAGCCTACGATCAACCCTAACTAACACACTGTCAACCCCCTCCTCCTCCCGTCCCCTCCTCGCTCCCTCCCTCCCTCTGCTTCCCCCTTATATTCCCTGACGCCCGGTCACCTCTCTCCCTCTCCCTTACTTTGGAGCCGCTGCCTAAAGAGGGAAAGGAAGTTCAGCTACACGATCCTAACACTAATTTACCGTCAGCTACTGGCAGCGGTGGTGTTGTACGAGAGGCCCGAACGCCTCAATCAACTCTGCGAGCCCCATCTACACAATTTGCGCAGAATGCCCGCAAAATGTGGCCACGATATCGTGACTCTACCTTTATACAACAAGAAGAAGAATATGGTTTCCCCTGGAAAGAAAAGGAGGGAAGAACACTGCCTCCCTCCTCCACTCCCTGGCAGGTCGTTACGCCGACACGGACGCCAAAGGCAAAACAGCCGCAAGAAAACGCAACAGTTCGTCAGATCATCAGCAATCGAAAAAATCAAAAAGAAAGTGCGACGGAGAGTCGGTTGTTGGGCCGTGATTCCACAGATTCGCCCCCGTTTCCTGATCATCTCAGGGCATACTCACACTAGGACTTTCTCTACTGAACTCTGGACCTGATTGAGGCCAGATGCATCTAGGTCAGGCCGTACTTGCGGTCAGGTACATACAGAGAAGTTCTACTCTGAGTTCGCCCTGAGACTGAACTCTATCCTTTGGCGATGCTCCCCCTGGTCTCGGTCTAGTCGACGCCGATGTCCTTCTTGATCGCCATCAGAGCTCAATTCCGGTTTGCCCAGTTCCAGCTGCAGCTGCTCTTCTCCCTCTGTGCCTTCGCCTCCCAACTCTTCGTCTTTGGAGGCAAGAAGAGTGTTACTTTCACCCTCAGGGGAGCGCAAACTGTCGTGCATCAACCTTCTTCTCTCCTCCTCCTCCTCCTCCTCGTCGTCGTCTAGCTCCCCTTCCTCCTTCTCCTCTCTCCCTTGCTGACCTCCTTCCCCACACCATTGCCTTATCCCCCCCCATTCCTGCTCAGCCTTGCCTACTTCCCTTTGCATGAGAGAAGCCAACGCGGCCACTTCTTTCACCTCTTGCTGCGTTGCGCCCCCATCAGTCATCGTTAAATCGAAATAGCCCCCACCCTTTGTATCACCCTCCACACGTTTCGCTTCTCCTCCTCCTCCTTCCCCTCCCGCCGGGGCCCTCCCGCCCTTAACCACGTGCTCACCGCTTCCCGAGACCCCAACAAACGCATCGCCATCACTTCTGTCTTTTACGTTGACGGCTTCGTTGTTTCCTCCCCTAAACACTGGCAGCACTTCCTCGTTGCCATCTTCTTCTTGCTTCCTATCCAAGATAGGTGAGCCAGCGGAAGGGACGGGATGATTGGGCCTGGGCGACGAGGCCGGTTTAACGGACGGTGAGCTCGCTGCTTGATGAGAAGGACTAACTTCTCCTCGCGCTCTCTCCCCGCACCCATATTCCTCCCCTGCCTTCCTTCCCGCCGTTGCTGCCGCCGGTAGTTCTTCATGTGGCACCGTGACTTCCACCGCCATGTCCATCTCCTTCTCGCGTCCTTGGCGGTCTCTTGCACCATCCCCTTCGACAGATACGGGCACGGGTATCATTGCCTGGTGACCTAGGGGCGATCGCACGATGGTTTGCGGCGATTTCCTGTCATTTTCTTGCGCCGGAGATATCGGGGCCGGGACATCCGATGACAAAGACGAGATCAAGCCGCGAGTAGCGAGGACAGGAGGAGGAGGAGGAGGAGGAGCCGTGGGTGAGACGACCAGCAAAGGCGGCGGCCCATCTCGCTGAACTGCTGACTTTGAGACTACACAAGGCGGTGACTTCCCCACCGCCGATAGCGTTTCTACAGCGGGGGGTGGAGATGCTGCATCGGCATGGCGCGTCTCATCAAGATGAGCGAGAGAACTGATCGGGGGGGTAGCGAAGGAAGACGGCAGCAGGGGCTGAACGGTCGTCGTCGGTGATGAGCGAGGACTGGCAGCTGGGATCTGGACGGCTTGGGGAGAGGTAGAGGCGGCCGGGACGGAGGTATGCACAGAAGGGGAAGAGGGTGCGCAGGCTCCCGCATGCGCTGCCGCAATGTCCTTGGAAGTGGCCGCGGGCTGGGCAGCCAGAGCGGATCCGCGAGACAAGAGTGTTCGGTGCACATTTGTCGAGACGTGAACGAGCAAGGAGGGCACCTCTGGTGGGAGTGAGCACGCAGAGTCCGAGTAAACCGGAGGAAGAGGGGCTATGGCGGCAGAGACGCTGCTCAGCCCCAGCGATATTCGCGGAGGCCGGCCCATACGGACAGGCGATGATGACCCCACCGATCCTGGCCCTACTGCTCCCTCCGCAATCGATTTCTTGGACTCGGCCGCTGCCGGCGCCGGAGTAGCTGCTGAGCATGAGAAGTAGACTGCCTCCTGTTCCCGAGATTCGCCAGCGGCGGGAGAAGGCCCCTCCGCCTTATCGTAGCCAGTAGTCCCCAATGAACCCACGTGGCTCTCGTCTCGAGGGACGAGGTCGGGCGTCTCCATTGGCCCGTTGAGTTCCGAAGGCGTGACGTCAGGTGCGCGTTGTTGCTCTACCGGCGTCGCTGCTGACTCCACCGGCGTCGCTGCTGACTCCGCCAGCCTCGGCGATAGCACCAAGCTCGATCCGGATCCGGACCCCAACAACAACCGGTGCCTGGGCGAGGTACGCTCCTTGGCTGATGATGCGATTGTTGTCGGCGGTAGAGATGACTGGGGGCCCGCCGGAGGAAGAGCAGCAGCAGAAGGGTCAACGAGTGCTGCACGTGGTAATGAAGGCGAGGCCGGGCCAGATACGTTCTGGCGCTCCGACGATCCGCCGACGACAGGGGTTGTCCGAGTCAATGGCGCAACCATTGCGGCCGTGGCCGAAGACGTTGCTAAAGATATGGAGTAGGAGGCAGAGCAGGAGGAGGAGGAGGAGGCGGGTAGGGTGGTGGTGGTGATTGTTGACGTTATCATCGAGAGGGAAGGGGTTCCGATTGGTCCAACCACAGCACTCATTGAGAGGGAGGAGGCGGAGAAGAGAGGAAGTCTTGGAGGCTGACGAGTGCCAACGTTGTTGCTGTCACCAGCGGGAGGAGGAGGAGGAGCAGGAGGCACAAGAGTGGACGCGAGGCAACCCTCAGGTGCAGTGGACGTGTTGTCGGCAGATGGCACATGCCTGAGAACGTTGCTCCCAGCTTGCGCAGCGGCGCTTACCGCCGCAGCCGTTGCGGAAGTAAGGATCTCCGCCTCCTCGGCGGCGGCGGCTGTGGCTGCTGCCGCAGCCGCGGCTTGCGCCTGCGCAAGCGTCGGGATCCACAACGGCACGGGTGACGTGGCAGGCTGCCCTATCGCGGTCTTGTGCACGCGCAGAAGCGGATTGAGTCGTTCGGATGAGAGAGAATGAATGCCGCCGGCCCCGACACCACCCACGTTTCCCCCCCCCCCTCCTCCCCGTACTCCACCGCTGTTGTTGCCGGAAACCCCGCCAGCACCTAACCCGCTACCCGTACTCGTTGGGTTGGAATTAGGAGTGGAACACAATGCAGGCGAGCCCACAACCTCCCCCCCGCTCCTGCCATCTTTGCACTCTTCCCCCGACCTCATGGCCATGTCCGAGATAGCCTGCGTGTGCCGGAAAGTACCAGCACCCGCACCAGATGAAGGAAACGCAACGACCGTGCCACCGTGGTGGTTTTCGTTATGATGAGGGCTGGTGTGATTGTTGGCACCTTGGTTCAGATTAGGGACCATAAGCCCCTGCTTGATACTGCTGTTGGTGTTGGTGAGGGCTTGGTGATTGGAGTTCACACCAGAAGGGGGAGAAGGGCCAGACGTGTGGTTGCGGGTCGTCAGCGGAACGATACCACCGACGACGGTGGTCGAGCGCATCGTCTGCGAAGCACCCCCATGCTGCGCCGCCGACGGGTCCGGTTTCTTCAAGCGCATCCGACGGTTCTGAAACCACGTGCTGATCTGCTCCATCGTCATGTTGGTCTTCTGCGATAATTCGATCCGCAGCTCTCTGGGCGGAAAGGCTCCCATAGCGAAAGCAGCTTCCAAAATGGCCTTCTGCGCATCCGTCAGCCGCAAGCGATTGAATTTAGGGTTTTTCCCTTGACTTCCGCCAGCGCCACCGTCCTCTCCATGCTTGCTGCTCCCCTGACCCGAAGCGCCTCCGCGCATGGCGACCGCACCTCCAGCGCCAGCTGAGGCTCCTCC